ATATATATATATAGAGAGAGAGAGAGAGAGAGAGAGATTTCAGAAAAATAAGTTCTCCTCGCTACGTTGGAGGCACCTCAAAGAGTGTGATAGCTGGTCCCAAGATTTAACGCGACTGCATACACAAGGTAAGATTCGAATCCCTGACCTTGCTTAAGTGTAGATCAACCCCTACCGACTACGGCTGAACCACACGCTTGGAATTTCCAGAAAAATAAGCTATAATACAAACTAGAATATGATCCATTTAAAAGAAATAAAACAATACAATTACCCGAGAAAATATTGATATAAGCATATATACAAAATACTTAACTCTAAATAATATTTTACTGAAAATTAATGATCAGGTCCAATAACGTTGTTGTTTGTATATTTAGTTATACGAGATCATGTTACAATTATTAATTTTCACAATTAGATAAATGAAGGGAATAAATTGAACTAGCATAAAGTATTAAGAGGCAAATATGGTTGAACAAAGCTTAAAGGTTTCTTTTATAATTTACCTTAAAAATGAGAGTTCAATTGAAAATTTTCAATTGGTTTAACAAAAGATAATGATAATATCGATCATTAATAATGTTCGAAAACACATAGTTCTTACGCTTGCAAGTCTTATTCTTCCCTCTCATTAGAGGATCAATTAATTAGCTCGTGTTGAGATTTTGGTTTAGTTGTACTTGTTCCAACTTCTCAAATTTCTGACTTTCTTGCAAAGCCTTGTGTAGTAGTCGTAGAAAAGATCTTTCATTACTAAAGCATTTGAAAAAGAGCGATTCTGACACACCAAACTATTACTTTCTCCCATTGATTCTACACAATGAACCTCATAGCACAGTTAATTTCTTTCATTACATCTAAACAATGCCATTACACCCAAATGTTGACTCGTTTATCTTGGAACAGTTTAAAGCACAACTAATCTACTTCCCTGTTACTTCCAACAACTTCATTATCATCCATGTCTCACAACCACTCCAACACACTCTGTGTTCCCTCCTATATAATACCAAGACATGCATTTCATTCCACATCCTCACAAGATTCATTACCATATAGAAGAAATGGAATCTAAATCTGAAACACTTGGAAACAAGATGACTATGGGAATGGCAATGTTGCTTGCCTTTGCAAATTTGGCAATGTCTGTAGCAGCAGTTGACCCCATTGCAGCCACTGGGAAAGAGCCTGTTATCGAGCTATACATGCATGACATTCTAGGGGGTAGTAACCCGACCGCTCGGCCGGTGACTGGCTTGCTGGGAAGCATTTATGGCGGTCAAGTACCATTTGCAACGCCGGTAGGATTCAACACCCAAGGAGGAACTGCCATCCCCAATGCCAATGGTGCTAACCCCACTGTCAATGGAGTTTTTGGTATCCCTCTAGGAACTGGATTGGCTGGTACTTCATTTGCACCAAACTCAAACAACAACAACCAAAACAATGCTCAGCTACTGTTAGGACCTGATGGACTGGGACTGGGTTTTGGTACAATCACCGTTATTGATGATATACTGACCTCTCAACCTGAGCTGGGGTCCCAAACAATTGGAAAGGCTCAAGGAGTGTATGTGGCAAGTTCAGCAGACGGAACTAGACAGATGATGACATTTACAGCTCTGTTTGAAGGAGGGGAATATGGTGATAGCTTGAACTTCTATGGCCTGTACAAGATAGGAAGCACCATGTCACAAATATCTGTTATAGGGGGCACAGGGAAGTTCAAGAATGCAAGGGGGTTTGCAGAACTGAGAGCTCTTATCCCACCGGGCCAGATTTCAACTGATGGTGCAGAGACACTGCTGAGGATCACTATCTATTTGAAATACTAAAACTGTAGTGTGAAATTGTAAAAGCAACTGGGTGCTGTTTGATTACTGATGACTGTGAGATTGGTCTTGTATACTGTCAGTTTGATAGTTTGATTGCAGAATCAGAATGTATTTTAAATCTTAGTTGTAATCCCAAGAAACCATATGGTGATTTGTTTTTATTAAAGAAAATGATAAATTGTGGCACTTGGAGTTGGAGTATTGCTGGTCCGATTTTGATATTTTAATACAGGCAGAAGCAATAAATGCCTCAAACTCAGACAATGACAGGTTACAAGTAAAATTAAAAATTAAGCAAATCAGTCATACGCTCTTATCAAGTGCTGAATCTATTAGCTATGATGTGACGTCAAGATAAGCTGTAAAGGAAAAAACAAAGTATGATGGAAAATAATCAACAAAAACTCAGACAAAGAAAAAGACAAAGTTTACTGCATACGAATCATGAAATGGAAGAAAATGTTACTTATTACATTATATACTCTACGTCTCTACCAGTTGACAATATGATTTACAATGCATCAGGAGCTCATAAACAACCTCCACCAAACCAATTCCTATACTGCTATACATCAAACAGAAATTATGAAGAGTTAACTTTGGAAAATAAACCTATACATGCAAAATGTTTACCGAAATAAATTAGGGGCAGGGGCTAAAACCATGAGATATTTTAAACTATATAAACATCCTGTTATTACTAGAGGTAACTTGGTTATTAAAATAAAATAAAATAAAAACTAATGGTAGCTACCAGTGATTATTGACATAAACTGAAGAGGGTCTCTACTACCACATGACAACCAATTAATGATCCAGGTCCCTTTTCAACTGTTGGACACCATTGATATAGACAGCTGTGATACATATGAATTTTATGATAATTACCATTTTGCATGCAGATCTTCAAATTTCAACACAAACTGGTGATATTAACATGAGAATTCAGGGCAGCTTCATCAAGTCCATAAAGGGCATCGATCAAGTGCACTCGCAACGATGCAGGACCTTTAGCCATCTTCATTCCTAGCTCACCAGCAATACCAAATGCAGCTAATGCTGACACTGTCGCATCCAAAGCATGACTTTTGTCAATAGCAACGAAGGCAGCAATCAGTGCAGTGACTGAACAACCAGTTGCTGTTATTTTCTGCATCATCGCCACCCCGTTGTGAGCACCAACAACTCGATTTCCATCCGTGATAATGTCAGTGGCTCCTGAAACTGCAACTATGGCACCACTTGTCTGAGCTAACAACTTTGCGGCTTCAACTGCATCCATCGACTCATGAACACTGTCCACACCCTATATTACAACAGTGCCAGCTATGTTACAAAGTGCAATGACAAATTTTCTCAGATTAAAGTGGGGAGAACAAGTAAAGAACGTTTAGCTGAGTCCCAAATATCCTCTTTTACTTCATTTTTCTTTTTTTCCAAAGAAATATTAACTAAATTAAGGTTTAATGTTAGAGAACTAATACTCTAGCAATGCGTGTAACCAAAATCAAGTTAAAATGGCAATGTGACTTAACGTATCTAAGTAAACCTGTCATTGCAGAATTGATTTTGAATAAAATTGATTTTAAAATAATGTAATTTATGATTGGATTTTTATTCTAAAACAAGTTTTTTTTATCCATAAAAGTTTAGATCAGACAAAGCATAACCTCCTACAAGACCAGAGTCAACCACCAACCATTTAGAAGATTTCTAGTGGAATTACGGATCACATTGCCTTATCTTTAGCACAATTTCACATGGAAGAATATAAAACACAGGAGAAACTAGATTTGATCCCAGATCCTATCTAATAAGAGTAAAGACACTTAACCAGTTGTCCCACCGTTGTGAGATCATTCTAAAACAAGTTAGTAGTAAAACTCAGTATAAATTTTTTATTCAACACAAAAACTACTTAAAATTATTTTAATTCAAAATTAATTCTAGACTCAAGAATGAATTTGTCGATGTAGAGCCAAACAAATGAACAATTACCCGAGATCATATTAGCTAAATAAGTTAGTATGTCATCGTAATTTTTAATGATCTAATGTGAATTTAAGCATGCACTAAATGTCACATCCTCATTAGATGATGATAAGAAGCATTAAAACCTTTAAAATTTATAAAGACTAAAATAAAAAATTAAAAGACTATAAAATTTTTGTCTCTATATATTTATAAAGAAAAAGATATTAAACCTGAATTTAGAAAGTCTTTAATCTTTATCATCTATTAGTGATGACATGCACCACCAATTATTCCATAGATGATGAATGCTAAAGTAAATAATTCCTAGAATATACTCTTTTTTATTAGTTAAGATTTATTGAAAACCAGAAAATCTTGTTGGTCTCACTTCTTAATCAATAATTCTCATTACTAATTTTTGTTCTATAGTTTTTAATAAATTTTAACAAATAGAAAGAAATGTGCTAGAAATTGCCTCTTTCATAAGTTACATTATCAATACACTTATTTTATCTATAAAATGGTAGATAGGAGATGACGCCCTCATATGATTCAAATGACATAACACCACTATCCATTTAGTTTGTGTTTGGTTTATCATTTGAAAAGTATTTAATGGATTTTCACACATTTCAATGTACAAAACGTAGAAACAACTCTTTTGTTCCATTTGATCAAAAGCAAGTTACGTTAATTTTTCACAAATACAACCATAGTGATTAGTTAAAGCTTAACACTGATTAGTTTAACTCAGAATTTACTTGACGAATTAAGGAGAGGTCAACTATAGAAATTTCACCTCTTACACAAGGAATCTCCTTGAGTATGTATGTGGACTAAAGTAGGATTTTATGATAACATAAGTGTCACATTATCACTACACTAGATAAACGGTAACAGACACCATTTTAAAAGTAATAATTTTATGAAAAATCAAGACCAGAAAAATTAAGAAATTAAAATATAAATTCACTTTATCTACATATGTTAAACCCCAAACCATAAAAACTAAAATTCCTTGTGTTTGCAGAAATAAAATAAAATTGAGGGAGTGGTGATGACCTTGGAGGCGTTGGCGTGTGGTTGTGCGGAAGCGAGCGCGATAATCTCAGAGGCGTTTCCCCGGACGACGGTGGGCCTGAGGCTGAGAAGGTGGCGGCAGGCGTCGAAGCGGAAGGCGGAGGCGGAGACGGCGACGGGGTCGAGGACCCAGGGCGTGCCGAGCTCGGAGCAGAGTTTGGCGGCGGCGTTCATGGCGGGGAGCCAGGAGGGGGAGAGGGTGCCGACGTTGAGGCAGAGGGCGGCGGCGCGTGGGGTGAAGTCGGGGAGCTCCTCTGCGGCGTGGAGCATGGCGGGCGATGCGCCGGCGGAGAGGAGCGTGTTGGCGACGATGTCCATGGAGACGAAGTTGGTGATGCACTGGACCAGAGGGGATTGGGCTCGGACCAGAGACAGAAGCTGCCATGCCTTGGAACCCCATTGCTCCTCAGCCTGAGGGTCCATAGGAAGAGAGATGTATGGGAACAATACAAAGAACAAGCTACAACTACAAACAACCTAAACACAAAATCACCCGCTTGTCAGCGTTGCCTCGTCAACGTCATAAAGGGTTCACCTGTCAGGCAGAGTGAATTGTGAAAAGGTGGAATTTTATTTAATGATACGATTGGGAAGTATGTGTTGTAATTAGAGGAAAATCTTCCTAATTAGAGAAAATATCGGTAGAATCTTCTAGTTTATTTTTCTAATGTATTTGATTATCTGCATATTTTTGGCTTTTCATTTTATTTAGTTAGAGAGTGCCAACAACAGCAGGAGTGGAAAATAGGTATAGTGGGGATGGATGAATGACATTCATTGAGAAAGAAAGAGATAAGATCAAGATCAAATGCTTTTACATTTTAGGATAAATTTGGAATAGCGTATATCGAGGAAAATGAGAGAAGAGGAATGCTTGCGGCACTCTCTAATAGTCTATCTATTATTGACTGAAACTTATTGAAAATTACAAATTGTGTGGGTCTTGCATCTTATTTGATGAATTTCTCTTGATTTAGTGGTAGGACCTACAGAAATTATGATTTTCAAGTTTCAACCAATAATAGAGAGAGCATGTCACTAGCATTTCTCATGAGAAGATTGTCTAAGTTGAACATGTGAGTAAAAGACCAGCAAAGGCTCTAATTATAAAATTGATCAAATGGAAGATAACCTGATTAAATTAAGCAGAGGAATATGATAAATCAATGTAAATAATAATCTTCTAAATGGATTTATTAAAAATATTGCTCTTAATAAAGCTTGTGGCATCCATATCAAGCTGAATGTGATATGTGGGCTAGATCTAGTTACAGCTCTTTTTAAGAGTTTGAAAGTAATTGAGTTGAGATAGATAGAAGTTTGGTTGTTACTAATTCTTTAAGAAAGACTATGTTGAGGCTGCAATCTTTGTGAACAGCAGCAAGAGTATCTTTCTGAAGATAGAAGGATTTTTCATTTTAATTGCTTTTTAGCATGTGTTGAGGTTGCAATCTTCATGAGTTGCAACATCATTTTTTTCTGAACACAAGCACACAACCACAACTTATGATAAAATGTGGATTGCAATTTCAGTTAGGAGTAAAATGGACCATAGTAGAAGTTTGTCAGGCAGAGTGAATTGTGAAAAGGTGGAATTTTATTTAATGATACGATTGGGAAGTATGTGTTGTAATTAGAGGAAAATCTTCCTAATTAGAGAAAATATCGGTAGAATCTTCTAGTTTATTTTTCAGAATATTTTTTTCTTATTTCCTTATTTTGGAAGATTAGATTATTACAAATAGGTATAAGGAAAATGTAATATGCATGAATGATAATAAAAAAATCATTCTCCTTTTCAAGTTAGTATCAGAGCTCCCGATCTTGGGAGCTCCGTTTCTGCTGCAACAGTAGTCACCGCTTTCGTTGTCTGGCCACTCTGGCTGCCAACATAGCCGTTGGGTTGTTGATAGGGCAGAAAGGTGTGCCCAACTCCGGCTAACACAACGCCAGAATTCGCTTCGAGAAATACGTTGCCATGCGCCGCCACTGTTGCCGGCGCGTGTAGCTCATGCGCCTAGCTTTGGCGAGACCCACTCGCCGTCGCCATCACAGAAAGAGTCGCCGGAGCCTCCTGAGTTCGTTTCACGGGTCAGTGACGTCCCATTTGGCTCAGATTTGAGTAGATTTGAGTTTTGAGTTCTGCTCCTTTTTCCGGTGTAGCCCACACGTCGTCGTCGTCTCAGATAGGGTCACCAGATTGCGTTCCAAAGGATGTTTGAGGTAAAAATTATTCCTTTGGGTCCTAATGATCTTCCAAATGTGGTGGGTGCCTATCGGTTGGATGGTCGGAATTTCTTATACTTTCAATGTCATAACAGGCAGCAAAATCCTTCTTTAATGAAAATGTACTCTGTAAATCATCCCATATCTCTGGCAGAAGAATGAAACATATAATTTCGACTTATCTCAGGAATCATGGAATGCCAAATCCAAGTCATAATTAGTGAATCTTCATTGTCCCAAATTGGAAAATTAGAGTTGTTTGGTCCTAGCCCTCCACCATCTATGTGATCCAGTCTTGAACGTCCCTTAAGAATCCTTCGGATATACTAACTCCATTTTAACCGGTTCGATGACCGGTCCGATTTTTAAAACTATGCACCAAACAATATAGAATCATTATATCAAATTTCCCTTTTCTTTTCTTTTTTATTTACTACTCTTCTACTTACGCAATAACTACATTTTAAAATTTCCACACACATTAATAAATATATTAACCCTTTGTTTGCTAGTGATTTAATAGAGAAGAGGGAAGATTAAAATAAATTTAAAAAAAAATTATTTATGTTTGGTGGAATGTATTTAAAGAGAATTATAAAGAATTAAAAATAAATTTACATTATTTTATATATCCTCTTTATTGAGAGAATTTTCGTGAAATTTGTAAAATATGTAAAATTATAATATATAAATAATAATAATTTAAGTTATATTATAAAATGAGGGTAAAATAATAATTATAAATATTAATTTTATTTTAGTAAATAATTACAAATTTCACTCTATTTTATTCTATTTTTTTATGTAGTTGTTATCAAATCAATTCTTATTTATTCTCTCTCATTCTCTTCTTTTGCGTCTCTTAAACAAAACATAAATGTATAAATTTTTTAAAAGATATTTTATATCTTGATTTGAATCCATATAACGAAGTATTATATATTTTTAATTTTTTTTAAAATTTTTGTAAAGTTAATCTATATATTAATTTTTTTTAATTTAACGATTAGATCATTGAAATTTGATGTAGAAGATAAGTTGTTGAGTGAAATAACTCTATTAAGACTTATTCTTAGAATTGAGTGAATCTTTTCTCTTAAGAAAAAGTTAATTAATATTACATTAAAACTAACAACATTGTTTTTTTTTTTGTTGCATTTTCAATTGTTAAAACTCCAATCATTGTTGAATGGAGGAAGCATTAAATTGTTGTGAGAGATAAAATATTATTTTATATCAAAATTTATGCACCCATATAAATAAATCTATTAATAGTTACTTTTGAGGGGCATTTATTTCGGGTCATCTTGCTCTATTCATGTGGAGATATTTATAAGCGCGTTTGTTAGAAGGTTTTGCAACAACATTTCCAAGTATTTTTTATTTCAAAAAAGTTATATACCTATGAGTAGGAGAATTTTTATAACATGTTTTTTTTAATTTTATTAAAAAAAGTAGAATAAGAGTAGTCCACAAAAAAATATAAAAAATAAATGTTTAAATATGTTTTTAGTCTCCCAAATTTAAGATAAATTTATTTTTGATCTCTTAAATTTAAAATTATTATTATTAGTTCTTGTAATTTTTAAAATTATTGTTTTAAAAGTTATATAATGTCTTGAGAGAAAGACAAATCAATTGTTATTTTTACCAAAGCTTTAAATGTGTGTTTGAGCTTGAAACTTGGAGTTTTTTTTTTTTAGTTAAAAAGATTACTTGGTATTGAAGCTTGGACAAACATTGTTGTTCAAAAAATACTAGAGTAATTTGTTTGAAGAGATAAATAAAAGAATAGTTAGGTTGAGCTAAAAGTGGTTTGTGAAAGAATATTTTAATCTTTGTAAAATATAATAGAATTTGATTAAGTTGATCAATTGAACGTAGTCTTAGTCGTGTTTGAAACTAACCAATATAAAAATACCTTGTGTTCTTTATTTTTGCTTCATCTACAATCCTAAAGATTTATACTATTACTTCACTATTTCGAAAAAGTATAGAGTTTTTGATTGATATTATTCAACTTTTCTTCTAATATCTTTCTTTTCTCGCAAGAAATACATTTCATGTGTGATTATGTGTAGTATTTTGTGATTTAGTTTACTTATTTACTATATGTCAAGTTTAATTGGATTCATTGAGTAGAAAATCCCTTGACACTTTACTGAATCCAATTATAATCGGGTAACATAAAATTTACCCAACCTAACCCACAAAAAATGTAATTGGATTGGTTGGAATAGTTTGAGTTTGTGGACGAATTGTTACCGGTTTACTCCCCTATTTTATGATTTCCTTCAAAACTGACTTGATTAGCACTCTATGGTCTCAAGCTTTGGAATATACAACTTTCTATCGTCATGTAATGTGAACTCCTTTTCCTTGCTATCAAAGAGATATATATGCTACATGAATCATGTTCTTTTTAGATACCCAACTAGAATCGAGTCCTCAACTTTGAAGACATTAGGTGATCTCTTTTTAGGCAGGTGATTGCATTGAGACATAATATGTCAAATTTTTCCATAAAAGTAGTAGACAAATACAGGCACGTCATTGACATACTTCTTGCCTTAATATCCATTGCTTGACTTGTCATAGACATTACTTTTGTACTTTGAGATTTTATCCAGCTTTTTATTAGTTCCTTGGGCTAACTTGGATAAATTGATCTCATAGGTAATGTTATTTTATCATATTAATACATTTGGTAAAACACCCACGCCACCTACACATGGTACTAATTTTTTTGCTATTATACTATTTTTTCTATTTAAATTGACACCGGATTGTCTCTCAATGATTGTTTATTTGCTGCCATATGCATTACTGCATATTATGACCTTGTAAGCCTACTAGTTACCGTCGTGCGTATTCCAGTTGGTTTTTGAAGTCTCTTTCAAAATATAACCAAAACTTTTAATAAAGGGTAAATCTTCTTTTAGTCTATACAAAATTTCTAATTTTGATTTTTATATTTTTAAATTTAATATTAACAGAATAGAGTAACTATAACTTATTAAAATAATAAAATTTAAATAAAATAATAAGTTCTATCTCAATAACAATATAGTTAGTTTACGAATCAATTCTCTAATTAATATGAAATATGAACATGGATTTTCTCATTAAGATTGTTATATAAAAAACATATTTAAACTGGTTTTACGGTGATGGATTATCCATTAAAGTCCTACCAAAGTTTAAGGATATCATATAACTTGATGTGCACATGACTAATCTCCCTCTCTCTCGGTTTTTAACTAAAATTTGGTTGGATGGTCGGAATTTCTTACAATGGAGTTAGTATATCCGAAGGATTCTTAAGGGACGTTCAAGACTGGATCACATAGATGGTGGAGGGCTAGGACCAAACAACTCTAATTTTCCAATTTGGGACAATGAAGATTCACTAATTATGACTTGGATTTGGCATTCCATGATTCCTGAGATAAGTCGAAATTATATGTTTCATTCTTCTGCCAGAGATATGGGATGATTTACAGAGTACATTTTCATTAAAGAAGGATTTTGCTGCCTGTTATGACATTGAAAGTAGGATATTTAATACAAAACAAGGCTCTCTTTCCGTATTAGAATATCATGGAATCCTGAATGGACTTTGGATTGAATTAGATCAATACCAAACAATAAAGATGTGTAAAATAGATGCTGCCGCACATGCTGAAGCCATGGAAAGAGGAAGAATCTTTAAATTTCTCCATTGCCTGAATCATGAGTACGACCCAATCAGGGTACAAATCTTAGGAAGAGAAAAATTACCATCCCTATCAGAAGTATTTTTTATGGTAAGAGGAGAAGAAACTCGAAGAGTTGTCATGCTTGATGGGGGATCTCCAACACAGGCTCTGCCATGACAACTGGAAAGGGGGTCCACAAGACAAGAGAGCAAATGCCGGAGGAAAGTCGTTTGAAAAAGGTAATCGTGGAGACTATTGTTCATACTGTAGAAGATCTGGACATACTAAGGAAACATGCTTCAAATTCCATGGAAGAAATATTGTTCTCGAGCGCATGGGAAACAACAAAGGGTCTGCTCAAAGATGGGCAAATCATACTACCTCAGAACAGGAAGCCACCAATCAATCCAGTACTTCACCACCACCAGATCTTGATATGAAAGCTTATAAGGAGGAACTCGAGCGCTTGAAAGCAATGGTTGAATCAATGAGTAAGCCCTCTGGATCATGTACTCTGTTCATGAAAGGTAAGATTTGTCTCAATATTGTTGGTCCTGGTTTTGAGTTCTGCTCCTTTTTCCGGTGTAGCCCACACGTCGTCGTCGTCTCAGATAGGGTCACCAGATTGCGTTCCAAAGGATGTTTGAGGTAAAAATTATTCCTTTGGGTCCTAATGATCTTCCAAATGTGGTGGGTGCCTATCGGTTGGATGGTCGGAATTTCTTACAATGGAGTTAGTATATCCGAAGGATTCTTAAGGGACGTTCAAGACTGGATCACATAGATGGTGGAGGGCTAGGACCAAACAACTCTAATTTTCCAATTTGGGACAATGAAGATTCACTAATTATGACTTGGATTTGGCATTCCATGTTTGTAATTGGATGATAGTGAAAAATTCCTTTACATTGCCAGTGCATACACTAATTAGTAATTACTCTAAATGTTTAATGTACTAAAATAATGTTTTGGTTTCCATATGATATGAATATGTTACTTTTAGGTACTGAAAGATTTGAAGTCAGTGGTCTTTGAAAGATGGAAATCGCTGTTTTAATGTCCGAAATTTGGGAATGTTGGTCAACTTAGTCATTTTTAAGGTCTAAATTGATGTTGAAATAAGGAACTATATTGATGGACATTTTCATTTTTAAGGGATGAAAAAGGTAATTTTCGTCTTTTAGGTGCTAAAACAATGTTTTGCTCTCTTTATGTGATATGTATGTGTTGGTTATAATCATGTGTTTTGATTTTCTGTTGATGAATCTTTTGTGGGTGTATCAGATCTTCTTCACATATTGTCTTTTCTGCCTAAGGATATCAACTTTGTGAATCATTCAAGTTATATTGGATGGAAAGAGTAAGTTTGTGTTCTTTATTTTGTTTTGCATAGGGGATTATCTTGATTGAGTGGTCGGTGTTATATGTACTGTAAGGATGATACTTGTTTTCCATGTTTTTTGATGTGGTAGAGCAAAGAAGTTGAAACTGATTATTGTTGATCCGGGTCTGTATCTCTCTGAAGGGACTGAAATGTTTTATGCGACTCAGCAAAGAGAACTCCCTAGTGCTTATCGCGTGTTTACAGGTATGGATGGATTATAGTGTAATGTATTTGATTATCTGCATATTTTTGGCTTTTCATTTTATTTAGTTAGAGAGTGCCAACAACAGCAGGAGTGGAAAATAGGTATAGTGGGGATGGATGAATGACATTCATTGAGAAAGAAAGAGATAAGATCAAGATCAAATGCTTTTACATTTTAGGATAAATTTGGAATAGCGTATATCGAGGAAAATGAGAGAAGAGGAATGCTTGCGGCACTCTCTAATAGTCTATCTATTATTGACTGAAACTTATTGAAAATTACAAATTGTGTGGGTCTTGCATCTTATTTGATGAATTTCTCTTGATTTAGTGGTAGGACCTACAGAAATTATGATTTTCAAGTTTCAACCAATAATAGAGAGAGCATGTCACTAGCATTTCTCATGAGAAGATTGTCTAAGTTGAACATGTGAGTAAAAGACCAGCAAAGGCTCTAATTATAAAATTGATCAAATGGAAGATAACCTGATTAAATTAAGCAGAGGAATATGATAAATCAATGTAAATAATAATCTTCTAAATGGATTTATTAAAAATATTGCTCTTAATAAAGCTTGTGGCATCCATATCAAGCTGAATGTGATATGTGGGCTAGATCTAGTTACAGCTCTTTTTAAGAGTTTGAAAGTAATTGAGTTGAGATAGATAGAAGTTTGGTTGTTACTAATTCTTTAAGAAAGACTATGTTGAGGCTGCAATCTTTGTGAACAGCAGCAAGAGTATCTTTCTGAAGATAGAAGGATTTTTCATTTTAATTGCTTTTTAGCATGTGTTGAGGTTGCAATCTTCATGAGTTGCAACATCATTTTTTTCTGAACACAAGCACACAACCACAACTTATGATAAAATGTGGATTGCAATTTCAGTTAGGAGTAAAATGGACCATAGTAGAAGTTTGTCAGGCAGAGTGAATTGTGAAAAGGTGGAATTTTATTTAATGATACGATTGGGAAGTATGTGTTGTAATTAGAGGAAAATCTTCCTAATTAGAGAAAATATCGGTAGAATCTTCTAGTTTATTTTTCAGAATATTTTTTTCTTATTTCCTTATTTTGGAAGATTAGATTATTACAAATAGGTATAAGGAAAATGTAATATGCATGAATGATAATAAAAAAATCATTCTCCTTTTCAAGTTAGTATCAGAGCTCCCGATCTTGGGAGCTCCGTTTCTGCTGCAACAGTAGTCACCGCTTTCGTTGTCTGGCCACTCTGGCTGCCAACATAGCCGTTGGGTTGTTGATAGGGCAGAAAGGTGTGCCCAACTCCGGCTAACACAACGCCAGAATTCGCTTCGAGAAATACGTTGCCATGCGCCGCCACTGTTGCCGGCGCGTGTAGCTCATGCGCCTAGCTTTGGCGAGACCCACTCGCCGTCGCCATCACAGAAAGAGTCGCCGGAGCCTCCTGAGTTCGTTTCACGGGTCAGTGACGTCCCATTTGGCTCAGATTTGAGTAGATTTGAGTTTTGAGTTCTGCTCCTTTTTCCGGTGTAGCCCACACGTCGTCGTCGTCTCAGATAGGGTCACCAGATTGCGTTCCAAAGGATGTTTGAGGTAAAAATTATTCCTTTGGGTCCTAATGATCTTCCAAATGTGGTGGGTGCCTATCGGTTGGATGGTCGGAATTTCTTACAATGGAGTTAGTATATCCGAAGGATTCTTAAGGGACGTTCAAGACTGGATCACATAGATGGTGGAGGGCTAGGACCAAACAACTCTAATTTTCCAATTTGGGACAATGAAGATTCACTAATTATGACTTGGATTTGGCATTCCATGATTCCTGAGATAAGTCGAAATTATATGTTTCATTCTTCTGCCAGAGATATGGGATGATTTACAGAGTACATTTTCATTAAAGAAGGATTTTGCTGCATTTTAGTGTTACTCGTCTCTCTTAGTTTTTCTACAATTTACTCAAAAGTAAGCTAATCCTTTTTTAGTCAATTTTTCTCTTGTTCAACTTGGTAAGTTGTAAAATAGAAAATTATAATTGAAAAATGATTTTGAAGTGTGTAAATAGAAACTTAAAAGGTGTCTATAATATATCAGTTGCAAATGCTTGAATTTACTGGTATGACCAAAACTGTGTGGGCATATTGATATGGTTCCAAGTTTTGGTTTGTTATAAGCATATTGACTAACATTGTTATAAGGTTGTTGATTTTGAATTGAAATGAAGTATGTGTAAAGTTTCAATGTTTCTTTTACATTCTTACATCTTTCCCTCTCCTTCTCCTTAAACAAAACAACTAAACAACTTTGATGGTGATTGTATCCAAGCTAATGGCTATGTAGTATATGATAATTTTGCTGCGCATCACCCCTACCTCTTTTCTCTTTTCAATTTTTTTTTGATGAAATTAGCAAATGATTTTGCTACCTATTTTTATCATAAAGGGTTTATAACTTAAAAAGCACATCTCAGAATGACCAATGTAAACTAAAATATAATTTTTTCCCCAATATATGTGCAAGTGCTCAACACCGGAAGAAAAAAAGGTCATGATAGATTATGAGCTAGATGATTAGGAGTACTCATAGAAAGGATAATATAATAAAAACATATTAGCTTAAACAAGCAATCTAGTGCTCAAGCTAAGCCAATTCAAATATCAGAGCTAGACACTACCTTAAAATCTAAGACATTGTTTATTGTAGATTTTGCATTAAAGCTAACCCAATTATATGTGGATTTGAAAGTCATATGTGGGTTCTTTAGGTGAATTAGTAAATCAACTTTAAATTCGCGTATATGTTTATCCTCCTCTCATTTTTAACCATCTTTCAAAATACCTTGTTACGAACTTGTTTGAGTTTTGTGTTAAACAGTTGATTTTAGTTTTATTTCCAATAATTATGTCACTCTTCTGATGTAAATACAACGACAGGAATTGATCGCAATACTTCAGAACAAGAGAGCACTGGCATTGAGTTACATGATGAGTTGGTGATTTTCAATGACATGCCTCGTCTCTATCCTCATGAACACATCACGTCATGAAAGTGTATCTAAATGAAATTAGCCAATGGTGGTTTGGGTTTACGGGTATAAAAATTGGGTACGGGTACTGTGTAGAATTTAGAAAGAAAATATGTTTCAAGGGGATAGAAGCACACACATCTTTTTGCAATGTTTTTTTTTTTTTTGAATGTATAAATGTCTAATCACAGTATGATAATAACATGTGACTAGAACAATAACATGTCACGAGTCAACGCTAATATTTAACGTCCAACGGATGCATAACTGACCCAAGAACCAAATTTTCATATTTTTAAATTAAAAAAATTAAATATCTCTATTTTAAAATAAGAACACTAAATTACGAATCAAAAAAAATAAAAAGACTAAAAATATAATTTAACCTTTTATTTAAACATGACAATATTCATACAATATATGTACAATATTTGGACAACTTTATATTTTTTTAAAAATAACTAAACATAAAATGGTATGTATATATATATATATATACCATTTACCATTCCTTTTTTTTCTAACCAAGAATAATTTATACTTATATCTTAATATGCCAAGATACAGAAGAAAACACTGCTCAAATAGCTGAAAATGCGTAAACAGCAGGGAAATAGAACAATACTTGACTAGAGAGGTTAAAGACTTATAAAAATACAAGAGCATTTTAAAATAAAATAAAATAAAGGGGTCTGCAAAACATGTCATTTTTGTAATTTTCACAACTACAAGTGTTGCCACAAAGTCAAGACCACATCATATGCCCAACTTGCATAGATGCAGACTCATTAGTTACAAATATCTGTTTTTACGATGAGCTAGAAGAGATATATTAAAATGTCAATCCTCTTAAAGTGATGAACTTATCTTGTATCTCAGCCACACGCCTGACATTGTTGGCTCTTCTCAGCTCCCATTTTGGTTTCTGGCATAATCCAAGCTGAATCTCATGAACAAGGGTTGGAATTGAATTGGCTACATTTGTTAGCCTAGAAGTCAACTCATCTTTACTCTTCTGCAAGGTTTCAAGGGAACTAGATATCTCGTTCCGTTTTGATTGAAGTTGCCGAATTTGGTCATCAATTTTTTGAATGGCTTGAGTTGTTTTGTTAATTTCAGTCTCCCTCTTGGCTACTTTCTCCTTTATTTCATTGTACTCATTTTTGAGACTAGGAACTTTAAGTTTCTTTGCCTCTAGGTCAGCTAAGAATCTGTCTGCCTCTTCAATGTTCCCCTTAGCCTCAAGAAAAGCCTCACCAGCCAACGGAACTTGTTCCACTAACTTCAATTTTACCAGTTGATCAATACTAAGGCTAGGATCTTCACGAACTTGTGATGCGAGTGTTGCGACTTCTACAACATCACTACAAGAGACCAGAGAAGGGAAGTCCATAGCAAGAAGGGAAGAAAGCTTCTTCTTGCAGCACTCTATTGTTTCATTATCCAAAAAGGTAGAAGGAATCACATAATCAGATGTAGTCTCAGGATGAGGCACAATAACAAGCATGTCCTCCAAGTTATCAAGATAGTCATCAAAATCCCCTGTAACACTTATAATGGGATTTTTCTCTTGTGTCATATGCATACCAGATCCTTCATCAAAATCTAAAATGTCTTTTAAATTCTCAGTTGCGTTCCCACCTTGATCAGGTGTTAAATGGGGATGAATATGATTTGGTCTAAAAGATTTCTTAGTTGGGCGACTGCGACTGCGGCTTTGTGTTTTCCTTTGCGTTTTCCTTTGTGTTTTCTGTTTTAATTTTCTTTGGGTGCCAATCTCTTCTGTGGCATCTTCCACTGGCAACCTTTGTGTTTTCCGTTTTAATTTTCTTTGGGTGCCAATCTCATCTGTGGCCTCTTCTGCTGGAAAAGATTGTATAGCTATAGCTAGAAAGCCACATACATCAAACAATGAGAAATACATAAAAAGAAAGGACAACTAATGTTGCATGGATATGAGCTAGGAGACAAAGCCATACACATCAAACAATAAGAAAAACACAAAATGAAGGGACAACAAAAGTTGCAAGGTATGAGCTAGAAGTCTAGTTACTTCGTAGCAGATAAGAGGATCCCAACTTATTTCACAAGCTTCAGATGAAAAATATTCTTGATTTGTTCCTTTCAAGGACTAAGATATTCACCTCATTACCATCATTTTCCTAGCTATTCAGAAAGACAACTGACCCACTATACATTAAAAAAGAGGAAATAAACAAAATATAAGTCATCACTAGCATCCTATTACCATCCTCATACAGAAGTATGACGGTAGAAAGTCCATAAACAAATAATAAAAGTCATGAACCATTTTGGTGGGAGTAAATGTTGAACAATGTAGGAGCTCACGACAATCATGGAGGAAAAGCATCAACAAAGACCAAGTAAACTGGGACAAATAGAAGAACTTTTATGCAGGAAAAAAATTGAAAGACTTAGTCACGGAAAATCAAGAAAATACCACAAATGCAAACAATTAAAAAAACCTAGGCAAAAATGAATTAGAAAATAGCAACACTGGGTTGAAAATAAAATTTCAAAAATTGTTTTGAGCTAACCTTTTATAGGAGTTTGATCAGTTGAGGGAACCTGCCAGTAAAATGAAGCAAAGAATGCTTCAATTTTCATGTCAGGAAAATTTGATTCAACATATCTCTTAACATCAGCTTTGCTTCGAAAGTCCTTTGTCTTGTGAGGAAACCCCTGAAGAGATCTTGGAAGAGAAAGGGATCTATCGGTAAAATATCCAGCCTTGTTCGTCCTTTTCGCCACTTTCCAGCCCCATACATCACCAGGATTAGGCCACCCTTCAGGGGCATATGGCAAACCTTCGCCAGAAGAAAAGGGTGGCACTGGTTGAAGATCGAAGTTATTCTCCTTTTTCACATCCTTACAAGCATTGCTGACAATTGTAAAGTCATCCTCCAAGGGTTCCTTTTCATGCAGACCACTGCAAAGAACAGAAGACAATGTCACTTGCTGAAAAGTCCATAAGAATAGAAGTAGAGAATGTAAAATAGAAGATAAAATCTGAAACTGTAACTTGTATTTCTTAACCAGGAAGTGGGTGGGAGTACCATTTGTATATAGACTCTTAATCAGAAAGCTACACTAGGTGCTGACTCAGCACATATACAACAGAAACAGTAACAGCCTAACTGACTAAGGGAGACAGGAATTATCTGTTACAGAGACAACAGTAAAACTATACAACCACTATATCAAATGAACAGATATAGTTGCAGAGACTATATAGTTGCAAATCTCGAATATATTTAGTTTGAGAGAGAACAATGGAACCATCTTTAAGGTGTTTAACTTCATTGCCAAGAAAATAGCCAAGCTCACCAAGTTGCTTGAGAGCAAAAACTGAATTGAGCGGAGCATTGACACATTGAATCAACTCAGCAGATATCCCTGCGAGGATGATATCATATCATCCACATAAATGAGAACATGAATGCAATGGTTGCAATGCATAAGAACTAGCACGGATGGATCACTTGATTTGAATAAAACATAACCCAATGAGCATTTTAGTGAGACATTCATATCAAGCACGAGGTGCTTGTTTAAAACCATAGATAGCCCGCTGTAATTTGTAACAAGAACAGAGTTGGCAGATTCAAGGCCTGGCAGCTAAACCATGTAAAGTAAATGGCCTCTATCAACAAGTAATTGTTGATTTCAATTTGTTGGATAGGAAAGTGGTTAGTCAGAACATGAGTGAGCACTAGTCTGATGGTAACAGGTTTTACCACCGGTGAAAAGGTTTCGGAATAATCACTACCAAATTTCTGATGAAACCCCTGGGCTACAAGCCTCGCCTTGTACTTGTTAATACTACCATCTGGATTCTCTTCAAGACAAAACACCCACTTAAAGCCAATGGCAGTTCTGCCAGGTGGAAGTGGAACCAAAGACCATGTACCATAGGTGGGAAGAGCATCATACTCCACCTGCATGGCTTCCCACCAAGGAGGGGAAGCCAAAGCCTGTATAACAGTGGATGGATCTACTGCAGTGTAGAGAAGGATGGCATTAAGACGGGGCTTGACAAAATTCCAGACTTGGAACGAGTTTGCATAGGGTGAGTATTCACAGGAGAATGTGGAGAAGAGAAGAGAAAGACAGACAGGAACCTGTAGGCAAGGTTTGTGATGCAGCAGAGGGTGAAGACTCAATAGAGGAAGCAAAGGGAGAAGGGGATAGTTGAGTAGCATGCTGTATAGAAGACAACAAAGCAATGGCCTTCGTGGGAAGGGATTGGGACAGGTGGGGAATAAGGTAAAGCTGAAGGTATGACACCAAGCAGGAGAATGCAAGAAGTGGGAACAGATGCTGATGAATTAGCTACAGCTTTGATATGCAAGAGAAATTCAGCGATAGACCTATCACCTTTCTTTTCAAAGTTCAGTATGCAGCTGATGAGATCTGGCCTTTGTCTACAAAATGAAGCGTGAATGGATTTTGTCCCAAAGCTGAAAAGAGTGTTTGCAACCAATGACTCTGGATAGAATCATTGCAGAGAGAGAAGACAGCAGTCAGGAAAGTAACAATTGATCCTGGAGTTCCCAGGCATGATAGGTAACATTTTCAATTCCTAGGGATTTGCAGAGAGGAATTGAATCAGAGTCTCTGGATTGTTAGATATAATTTTATCTTATAGTTTTTATCTTATGGGCCTAGGCCCACTACTTTGTATTTAAACACATCTTGTGCTTTGCAATACACAAGGAATATGCTCTCTCCATTCACCATTACTCTCAACATGGTATCAGAGCCTAATCCTTGACCTCCCGGTGGACCCACTGTTCATCGGTACCCGGAGAACGTGTCTCATTCCGTTTTCCAGCTACCCACCCTGTCGTGTCTCCTTCCGGCAATTTTTTTTAGGGTTTTTTCTTCGCTGCCGCCGCCGCCGCCTTTCCGGCCGGCGACCCCCTCACCCAACTCGCCTTCCTCCGGCAAACCCAACGCCGCCAATCCGATCGTGCTTGAGGGGGGACCTCCACCCCAGGCTCTGCCATGACAACTGGAAAGGGGGTCCACAAGACAAGAGAGCAAATGCCGGAGGAAAGTCGTTTGAAAAAGGTAATCGTGGAGACTATTGTTCATACTGTAGAAGATCTGGACATACTAAGGAAACATGCTTCAAATTCCATGGAAGAAATATTGTTCTCGAGCGCATGGGAAACAACAAAGGGTCTGCTCAAAGATGGGCAAATCATACTACCTCAGAACAGGAAGCCACCAATCAATCCAGTACTTCACCACCACCAGATCTTGATATGAAAGCTTATAAGGAGGAACTCGAGCGCTTGAAAGCAATGGTTGAATCAATGAGTAAGCCCTCTAGATCATGTACTCTGTCCATGAAAGGTAAGATTTGTCTCAATATTGTTGGTCTTGTGTCTCAAGGTATTTGGATTCTTGATTCAGGAGCAACTGATCATATGACACCTTTTCGTGTGTTCTTCAACTAATGTTAAAAGAAATAAAAAAAAAACAACTTATTATAGTTACGAATGGTCAGGGTGTACCTATATGCAGCTATGGGAATATAATTTTGGAATCATCTATTGTATTAAAGGATGTTTTACATGTTCCACAATTAGCTAATAGTCTTGTCTCTGTGAAAAAACTCAAAGGATTTAAATTGTTCAATAACATTTTTCTCAACTTATTGTGTTTTTCAGGACCTTGCCACGGGGAAGATGATTTTAATTGCTAAGAAGTAGAGTGGGTTGTATCTGTTGGAGTCTGATGACCAAAGCAAAACAAAAATCATGAGTCAACAAGCTACATCTGAGATATGGGCAAATTCCCAAATATGTTTACAACATAAAAGGCTTGGGCTTTCTTCATTCAACCTTATCAAGTCCTTATTTCCTCATTTGTTTACCAAGGAGTCTGTTGAGTCTTTTAATTGTGATATTTGTCAATTGTCAAAATACCATCGTGAATCTTAGCCTATTAGTAATAAAAAGAGTATTTCTCCATTTGATTTAATTCACTCTGACATTTGGGGACCTGTTGCAGAATCTATTTCCAGAGCCAAATGATTCGTTACCTTTATTGACGATTGTACCCGTGTCACGTGGACATACCTTACGAAAAATAAATCAAAAGTTTTTATGTCTTGTCTAAAATTAATTTGGAAAAATATCAAAAGAATCAGGTCTGATAATAGTACTGAATATGTGAATCATGAATTTCTCAATTTTTTGTCTCATAATGGTATTGTTCATGAACTAACATGTGTAAACACCCCTCAACAAAACGAGGTTGCAGAAAGAAAGAATCTTCATCTTCTTGAAGTAACTAGAGCTCTTCTTTTTCAAATGTTTGTTCCAAAAAATTACTGGGGAAAAGTTGTGTTAACTGTCACATATCTCATCAACAGGTTACCCACCTGAATCTTAAATGGCATTAGTCCAATAGAGTCTCTATTGTCTTTTGTTCCTTCTTCCCCCCTAATATTGAGTCCACCTAGTTGAGTCTTTGGATGTATATTTTTGTTCACTCTCATCATCCTAATCGTAGTAAATTAGATCCCAAAGCTCTTAAATGTGTCTTTATTGGGTATCCTCCTAATAAAAAAGGTACAAATGTTATTAGCCTTAGAGTCGTCACGTCTTTATCACCATGGATGTCACCTTTCATGAAACACAATCCTTTTATGCCAGTCCACCACTTCAGGGGGAGAAAGCACTTGAAGTGGAGGAGCTCTCCTTCTTGTCATTACCATATTTATCTCTGCAGGATGCCCAAGATCTGAGCAATGAAGCTATCATGGTCCACAATGAGGAAGAAGCGCAAGAAGACAATTTTTTGGCAAAAAATATGAAAGAAGAAAATAACTCACTTCGACTCTCGAGTAAGAAAAATTGTCTAATCCGGAGGTGAGGATCCCTGAAGATAACAATGAGGAGGTAAGTATTATTGAGGATTTACCCATTGCATTAAAAAAGGAAAGAAGATCATGTGCTAAATATCTTATTTCTCGGTATGTTTGCACTAACACTCTCTAATAAGCACAGAAGCTTTATTACTGCCATTGATGCCACAGAAATTCCTACCTCAATCCAGGAGGCCATGAAACTTGAACATTGGACTCAAGCCATGAAAGAAGAGATGAATGCATTAGAAAGAAATTCAACTTAGGAGATTGTTGATAAGCCAAGAGACAAGAAGGCAATAGGGTGTAGATGGATATTCACAGTGAAACATAAGGTAGATGGGA